AAAACATGAAATTTTGCAATTATCTTACGCCACCCTTGCACAAATCGACGATCATTTTTATAATTTCATAGACAATAGAAGACTGTATTTTTTCTACATAACCGCCCCCCCCTGAATTTAAAGCTGATCCGCCCCTGAAGATGAGTGTTTGAAGTGAAGCGATTTCAGACGGCTTGAGTAGTTATTAACTCGATCAAAGTTGTATACAATATAGAAGCAAACCGGAGGGTTAAGTCAATCTACCTTAATTGGTATAAATTATTTAAGCGATACAATACTCTCGTTCGGTGTGCAGTGGCGTACACTATTTCAACTCAAAATGACCAGTAAACTTGGACAAAGCCACAGTTGGAAGCGTTTTGAACACTAAAATTTCATCCATTCTAGAGCTCGTTAGAGCAGCTAAAAAAGCTGCTACTCTAGAAAACCTGGAACGAATTTAAACGAGCCGATTTAAATAATCGCTATTCTGTATTCTAGAATAAACATGTGAAGGCGATATGTCGACATTGCGTGACAATACCGAGAAATTTGGAAAGCTAAAATTCGACATAGATGGAGGAACGAAAGCCTCATAGTTTAATTTTCAGAAATGTTGGCAAAAAATCACAGTGGCGCGACTGAGTAGCCACATTCGAATGTATTAAATATTGGGGATTATTTGGGCTTTTCATCCCTAAGAGCCGAAGAACCGCCAAAATTCCTCTAGTTTTCCATAGGTGAACCTAAAGAAAAAATAATCTTTAGTCGTAGATATTTCAGATAATTTTGTAGGCGCACATCCGAAGTCTTGTGCTCATATCTTTGGCCGGCCACTGGTTTTGAACACTTTCTCTTGTGATATAATAGATGAAGTGCTCAGCAGGTTAGCATAAAATATGTGCCAGAAACGAATTACCTGCGGCGCTTATTTACACCGTTGTACAATATAATGGAGTGGAAGAAATGGATGTTATCAGGTCAGTGTTGGAGATGGGAAGCGACGCAACAATGCGATCATCTTCAGGCGATTGGTTTAGATTCTTCTAAGGGAAAATTAGGGCGTGTAAATACAACACTTGATTAATTTTTGGTACAAAATGCCTGATCTCGTTGGATTTTTCGTTGTGTTCACCTCATAGGATGATAATTTTCAATATAAAAAACCTCTCAAATTATATGCACAGTGTTTGCGTCTCTAATATTAGAGAAAATGTTCAGTTGAAGATAGAAAAAAAAACGCCCAAATTGGGTAATTATTTCTCCACTCCTCTTCTCGTTGGATTCTTAACTTTCAAGCGAAGACGGTGGTAGAGAATTTTAATAATTTAGAGCAACTAGAATGGATTTTTTTTGGAAAAATGCTTTTTGAATGTGTGAGAGCTCGGGATAGTGCAAATTTCCCCGGTTGGTGATCGAACATTTCTGAGGGCAGAATTAGTTCTTAAGAATTTCAGAGCATCGCGTGCGCTGTTGAAAATATGTCCACCTTATGGAAAATCGCTAAACCAAAAACTTTTCAGTCTTGTTTCTAAATTAATGTAAATTAGAGCTTACTGCGCCCTCTACAAGTCTTGGCAAGACTGAAGATTTTTTAGGCAGGTGGATTTTAGAAACTTCGCAGCGCATTCGGCTTGCAATTTTATTTATTATAATCAAGCTTTCCTAAATTTATATGCTACATTCACCATCACCAGTCCACTTCAAGACAAATATAGTTTACTCGAGTACTTAACACATGTCGAAGTTACATTGATATAAGTCAGGATGGCCGAGCGGTCTAAGGCGCTGCGTTCAGGTCGCAGTCCACTTCTGTGGGCGTGGGTTCGAATCCCACTTCTGACAAATATTTTTGCCTTTTTTCTTGGCAATATTCTCGGGTATTTTGCCTTCTATATTTTAAAAATAAAATAAAACTCCTAGCTTCATATTTTGTTTTATTTTATTGACAAATCAACGAACTTCATAATTAAAAAAATTAATCAAAATACATGTCAAATTTCAAAAACAGTTTTAAAATAATTAGTTAAATGCTTATCAACCCATAAAAGAAATATAATTAATCAGAGACAAAAACAGTTTGTCCCAATCGATTTTATTCTAATCATTGATAATTTTTTTCTCAAAATGTTGTGCGCGCCTATTCTAAACCTCTTGTGAGAGTGAAATGGGTGATAATTATTAACGTTTTTAATTAGAAGCTTTAGATGCATTTCTCGACAAACTGGTGATATCATTGTTGTTCAGAATTCGAAGAATTCTTCTTCGCCATATATTCCATGAAATAGCCACGAAGATGAAGAATTATCAGCTAAAAATATGACAACGTTTCTCACTAAATGAGGATCTATTACCAAAATCTTCCTGCTCAAACACTATTACATATTTCCATCGAAGAAGCAACCGAACAAACAAAAAATCGCATTTTCAAAGCTAGTGATGATATTAATTTATTATTATATTTGTTGGTGATGGACACAGTTTTCTTCACGTATCTTTAAGTGGGTTTGACAGTATTTGACTCATTTTTAAGCCATTTTAGAGCCGATTTTTACGTTTTGTGTCTTAAGAAGATCTGATGTTGAGCTTCAACAGGGTGTTCCAAAGCTCCAAAGTACTAGTTTCAATATTTGATCACTAAACTCAGATCTTTCGAAGTACCAAATAAACCCATTTTTATTGAGAAAAGTGTGTACACACTGAGCTGAGCCAGAAAGTGTGTACACGCCGCAGAAAACGCCGATTTAAAGCTCGTTCGTAATTTGGGATGGTATCATTTCCAGTTTCTTATATTTTAACCAAAACGTCGCTAATCTCATTATTTGTGTACTAAACTCGCAACTTTTCAAAACAAACCGACATTTTTATCGATAAAATTATGTAGACACTTTCGTCCTGCCTTATATATAACAACTACTGTGCATTAAAACGCTGAAATAAATGGTGTGCATAATTTTTGATGGTATGATTTCCACTTTATTTTATTTTCCCCAAAAAATTGCAGTTTGCTTCATTCTTGCAAAAAGCAAAATCAAGTGTTTCACATATGTAATTTTTACTTTTGTGCTTTGGTTGGCTCCAATTTCTTACTCAAATTTTAATAAAATCTAATTCCCAGCCTTGTGGACTATCATTTGTTCGATTCTGTATATTTGGCTTTTGATTTCCTTTCGCTTGTCGCTGTTTGATCAAGCAGTTTTTCCAAGACGATTTGATTATTCCAGACGCCTTTATTTGCGGCTTTATTGCTATCATTTAGTTTACCTGTAACTTCTTAAAGTTGATTTTGTTGAAGAGGATCTTTCTTCGGACTTCTGATATATCGCGAGGCTTATTAAGCGGTTCGCTTGGCTCAATATTATTAGAAATATCTGAGTAAAGCTCTAAGTAAATTGTCTTTTATTTTTGTCTGTGGAGCATGTGTTTCATTGTGTATTTGCATTCATTTGACGTAATTTTCCATATAACTTCACTTAGTTTATGAACGGCGTTTCTGGTTCTTGCGTTCTTTCCGATCCAAATTTTCGTCTTTACTTGCGCTTTGTTTATTTTACTTATT